TGTGTCTCCCAGACCAAAGGTACCCCAAGTTTGAATTACCTCAATAGGTTCACCAATTTCTTGTCCATTCAATCCCAAACCCTTTCCCAACTAATAATGACATGACAGCATGATCCTAATAGCAACTTTGTTAGGTTTGGACATTTCAGCCTTTCTTCCTTTGAATTTTGGATGAATATAAGAAGTAGCAACACACTCCATTGAGTGGTAAAGGGTTCATAAGTTCCAGAATCAACTCCCAAGTAAGGGATGGTTGTAGCTTTTCGAATGACATGCTCCTCCTCGCCATTCATAGTAACAAGGACACCATTGACAATTTATTTAACTTTCTAATGCAAAGTGGATGGTACTGTTCCGGCAACATGTATCCAAGGTCTTCCAAGAAGCATATTAAAAGTAGGAGAAATATGCATAACAAAGAAATCCACATCAAAAGTCATAGGACCAATTTTCAATAAAAGCTCAATGTTTTCAACTACCTCCATTTTCATTCCATCAAAAGCACGAACCACTGTATTGCACTAATTAATGTGAGACTCATCAACTTTCAATTGCCTCAAAACAGTCAAAGAGATCACATTCAAAGCCGACCCATTGTTAATCAACACATGAGGCACATTCATCATCTGACATTGGACAAAAATATGAAGAGCCTTGGTATGCCCATTTCCTTCATCAAGAATCTCATTATCCATGAAATTAATATAATTTGAAGCCAACATTGCCCTAACCACAATTCCAAACTTTTGGGTATTGATGTTCTTAGGCATATGGGCCTCTTTTAAAACTCTAAGTAAGGCATCTAGATGAGCTTCAGATGACAACATCAATTCTAAGATAAAAAGGACTTGATTCAAAAAGGCATTGACTCTTTCACCAAAGTAGAGGCTTAATAAAGAGGTGGACCATCTCTTAGAATTCCCCAATATTGACAAAGCAAGATGTAGCAAACCATCAATGTAGAAGGCATCCTCTAACAAAACATCAACATGAGTACAATTGGCATTGACCATCCCACGGACAATATGATGAAAAGGCCTAACAAAGGAGAAATGCAATGATAGAAACACTAGACATCCTTATCATTTGCCAAGTTGCCATTGCTACCATATCTCCAAATTTCATCATCCAAACAACCTAGTAATATGATAACCAAAATATTGATGGCGTCACTAAGTGTTGGTCAAGACCCATGTTTGACAACAGTTGTCATTGCTCATAATTGACAAAAGTTTGACAAGTCACCATTATTTACGATTAACAGGCTATTGCCTAGATTGCTCATCAAACTTTACTCATCAATCCTCGCTCGCCAATGCTAAAGTGCGCAAGAGGTGAAGTTTGTCAATCTACAGCAAAAGTCATCAACAATGATAACAGTGCTTGATGATGAACTTTTGATAGAGTTTGTTTGTCATTCATAACTCATAAAAAATAGTCCTTATGTATATTAGCACTTGATAGAAAATATGTCACTATGTCAATTGTCAAACCCAAAGAACCAAGCCCAAGAGGATAATGAGAAAGATTACAGGGGTAGTGCCATGGAAAGCATGGAGCGATAGCTCTTACCTCATCGTCAAAATGGGGTATCAATGTAGTAAAACTAGGTGCCACCATTATTAACCCTTTTTTATGAACAAAAGGGAAAGACTCACTAAAAGGTGCAAAATACTTGTCAAAGGGTAAAAGCTTATTCTTTTTATTCTCCTTGTCAAACCCAGCTTGGAGAAAACAAGGGTGTAACCCATTGTCCAAGGTAGTTTGACCTATCTAATAAAACCACTATGTAAAACTATGGATTCCTAAGATAGACTTTACTAAAAGTACTTTTTGTCTTATAGCCAAATGAGGTAAAATCTCATTTCACTTCACTAATTTCAAATTTTTAGCCAAAATACCCCATTGTCTAACAAGTAAAAGGAGAGATCTACTAAGGTTCATAGATGATGGATACGTGTCCTTATCCAACTTGAGATGCTTATGTAATGACCTTAAATCAGTTTACTTCATAAGATTACAAAATCATGCTTAAATATTATAAATACCATTTCTTCCATTTGTTCACAATCTTGTCACCACTTTTTGAAGAAATTTAAGGTTTTGAGAGCTAGAGATTTCTCTCATTGCTTGCAGCAACTTTCTCTCTCAAAACCCACTCATTGTCTTTTATTTTGACCCACAAACGCTCTCTAAATCCACAAAATATCCCTATGTTTTTCGTGGAGTTGGCCACATTGCTCTTTGACTAGCCACTAAAAAAAAACACCGTAACAAAACCTAAACTAGTAAATTTAAATATATAAAAAAATAAAATGATTTAGGAATAATATTTTTATACAACATTTTTGTACTACTCTTTTATATAACTTTCCATATCATTTAAATGATTGATTATTTTTATTCATTTTAGACTTATGATATTAAATGCATTAACTCATCTAGTGACATAAAAATTGTATAAAATTATAGTATAAAAAGGTTATTCTTATATCAACACTCATACAAAAATTCATATAATCAAACTTGCAAAATTTTGGAAGATCTTAATCGAAAAATTGACGTCATTATAATACCAGTTAATGGAGGGATAACGCTTCCCCTTTTTCCAAAATTGAGGGATTTTTATGAATTATTTTTAAGTAAAAGGATGACAATGACGATTTTTACAAAATTGAAGGATTTTTAGTAACATTAGGCAATTGACGTATGCTCCAAATCGATAAGGAAAGCAGATACACACTCCACAAGAGTTCAAACTGTCCCTCGCCTCCCGCTCACGCAGTCACGCTCCACCCCATGTATCAAAATCAGACCGCACCACCCCATATATCGAAATCAAGGTGTTCCCCATATATCAAAATCAAACCCCTCTCTCCCTCCCCTTCCCCCCTGCCCAGCTCACTCTTTCTCTTCTTCTTGTTTCGCTTGTCGCTATGGGGAGCTGCCACCAACCCAGTAAGCTCTGCTGCTTCTCGCTCTTTTCATTTTAATTTGCAGTTTAGTTTCTTTCTGATGGACAGAAATTTCTGGTCGAAGCCCTTATATTTTTTGGCTTTCCAGACAGATCTGTGATGGGGGATTTCTGTTATTTATTTATTATTTTTTGAAATATTTTGGGCATTTCGTTCTTACCTTTCTCTCTGCATAACCAAGCACATTTTTTTTTTCCCATTTTTCTTTTGTTTGATTTGGAGGAATTATATGGTTTTCTTTGGAATACATATTCCTAGTGATATTCCTTAGTTATCTCTTAATTTAGTAGAAATTATACTATTTAGGAGTTCATATTCCTAACTAGAATTTTCTCAATTTTTCTACCAACCAATTGAGCCCTTAGTCTGGTGTGAGTTTGAAGGCTTTGGCAATTAGGTTTTCTCTCCACCAATGCGGATTAAGTCTCTGTTTGGTTACTCTGGAAATGTCCCAAACATGATAATAACATGTATTTTCTGCCCATTAGTTGAAAAAAAGGAAAAACATGAAGATATTATTGCAACATTCCAAATATATTCCATAATTTAGGACGCAATTACATTTTTCCAGTCCAGGGTTGGGTTTTCATTTTTCCTTATATTGCAGGTTCAATGAAACAGAATTCAATTTAAACTCAGGCATTGCATTTTCACACGGCAGCAAATATGAATAAAAAAAATTTAAATGCTGCTAAGATTGAAGAGCCTCCTGCACATATGACTCGAGCGCAGTCTGAAGCCTTGCGGGTAGTAGGAGGGAATGGGATATGCTTCTCATCAAAACCATCCTTCAAACAGGATCATAAACGTGTTGTTAGAGTCAAGTCTAAAAGAGCAGCATCGGATAAGAGAAAATCTTCTGCCACTGCCACTCTTGGTCTTCTGCATAAAAGACGAGCAGTTCTCAAAGATATAGTTAACATCTCCACTCAAAGTTTATCCATGGACTGCATAAATTCATCTAGAAGTAAAATTCAGGTAAGCATATGGATTTTCTTGTGATCTAATCTTCAAATTTCTACTGCTCAAATTATCCAAATACGTTATTTATACTAATATAGATTTTAGATTTATGAATTTAAAGCATACTTGACATTGCTATAAACTGAACATAGCACTCAGATGTGAAAAGTTAGGTTGTTCTCCATGGTGATCATATCAGTAGATAGGATTCTTATCTTACTAAATGATTTGAAGAGTCTGTTGATATTATTTAACAATAGACTAACCAGCAGAGTAGAAGAGGCGTCAATAATAATTCAGAGATCACTGCCAATGTCTCAATGCTAAGTCTTTCAGTTGAAGATGTAAAAGCAAGGTTAGTTGAAGAGTTATCAAGAGTAAAGATGGTGGAAGCACAAGAGATCAAATTCTCAGTAATGATGGAAGATACAGAACTGGTTGGACTTCTTTGTCATAGCTCAAGAGAATGTGCTGTAGTTGATGCAATGCCTCCAATCAAGGCTCCAAAAGTACCCACTGGAATTGATAGCCATCAAAAGAAAAGTAAGGTTTGTGTTTAAATTCCAAACTAATATGCTCAGTGTTGCTGATTTGGACCTGTTTTTTAGAATGACAAAGTGCAAGTGCTCTTCTAAAATTTAACAGTTAAATGGTAACTCCTACTGCACGTGCATGCACAAAAAGGCTAAACTTCAATTTAGCTGTAGTAAATGTATCTTGGGGAAAACTACCTAAGTCACAGGTCTGTATCAAATAGTGCTTCAGGCAAATTACCAACTCTAAGTTAGTAAAAGAAAAAAAGTCTCAGGGTTGACACTATGCATTACATTTTTGATTGATCATTCCATATAAAGCTATGCCTAATAAGAAACAACTAACCGAGGCCAAAAAAAAAAAAAGGAAACAACTAGCACAGACATTTCTCCAAATGGTCATGTCTGAGGAGCTAGTTGGAGGCATGCATGTCCACACCTCCCACCAAAAATATTGATTTAATATTGTTAACTTAACACTGTTTTAGCCTATCTATCTTGTAGAAGATTAAGAATGTCTATGGTTTGCCAAAAAAACGAAAAACAAAAGACAAAAAGTGATGGAAGCAAGATTTGCCTGTATTCTTGGTTCATGTAGAGGCTAGAATGCCAGAATCCATCATTTATTTTATATTAAATTAAGTTTTTTATAGCAATTGGACAATTGGTGTTAAGTGGATGATATTGTTTGTTTAGAGCTTTAGATGGCAAAGAATAACACAAAAATGCAGGAAGAAAATTTCAAGCATCCTAAAATAAGTATGACATCAGTAAAGCTTAGAGCGTGTTTGGTTAATGGAATGGGTATTCCTTGGCAAGATATATAGATAAACTAAACTGAATAAAGATCATTACAAATGAATACTTGTTCCATGGTTGGAACATCTTTCTTCTATTAAGTTGAAAGGAGAGAGAATACCTAATAACACCTCTCCTCAAGTTTTAGTTATTTCTTCCCTCTTATGACACATTAGAAGAAAATTGATAAAAGCATTCGCTTGCTTTTGTCTTTAATTAATTTATCTTATTTTTTTATGTTGACCAATGAATGACCACTTCTAACCAAACATTACTATAGTGTTCCATTTTTAAATTAGCTTTGGGTTGGATTATGCAGAAGAAAATGAGGCCAGCAGAAATTTTCCAGACATTGTGGATATTGATTCAGACCTAAAAGGTCCTCAAGGTTGTAGCTTGTAAGCACCAGACATTTACAATAACATACATATTGCTGAGGTTAGTAGTGTGATTGCCAAGCTTTATCTTAAGACCACTCTAGGTTTTCATAAGCACTAATTATTTGTTATTATTAAATTTTATTGATTTTACTGCTATCTTTTTGTCTGTTGTATTAATCTTTGAAAATTATTTTTGTTCCAACAACACTATGGCATCAATATGATAACTGCCATAGCATGGCAAATTACCAATAGCAGGTGCTTTGACCACTATTGTGGTCGCAATCCACATAGCGGATAATGCCCACCATTGGTGCTATTGTTAGTTCTTTAAAAATACAGAAATAACCCTTATTCAATTAATTAGAGTCATTCTTTTAAGGTTAGATTTGTCTTTTCAATTTTTATTTTTCTTAAAATACCTAAGTTGACATTGGGAAAGCTTTTACTAGGAAAATGGTTGGGAAAGTACTGTACAGAGAGTTGATAAGTTTTGCAATGAAGTTTTGTTGGAATTTTGTTGGGTTTTTAACTTTTTTTTGTATTTGTAAGTTAACATAGGGAAAATTAGTAGGAAAGTTGTCAAGTGGATCCCACATATAGAAAGTTGGGTAAACCTTTTCACTTCAAAAAGTGTAGGAAAATTTACTCGTTGGGAACTATCTCAATGAAAATAAGGGCTAAAAATGTTACTTTTATCCTCCTTTTATTGTAGTATTAAGGTGTGAAAATATGTAAATAATCCTATAAGGGGGAAAGTTACGGAAGAAAGTTTCCCCTCAACCAAACACACCCTAAATCTCCTTGACTGTAACTTATCTTCTCTCTAAAATCTGAAGTTCTCAGCAGCCATGTCGCCAGCTACCCTAAATCCCCAATCAACCTTGCTAGCAGGCAGCAGCCCACCTCCCAACTCTACAGAAGTCTCCAAAGTTAACCCTAAATCCTCAACAGCAAGCCCTCTTGTCTTCCTTTCTCCTCTGCACAGCCCAGAAATCCCCCATGGGTGATCAACCTTGCAAGTCCAGAACTCCCAACTCCACATTTCCAAAATGATCTATGAGTGAAAGTCATCTGCATATGGTTTGCTGTCTGCATACTTCGCCCTTCTTTGATTAACCAAAACAGATGAGTAATAGATGTGTCGTTGTGTGGCTGACCAAAAAAAGAAAAATGGTGTTGCTGTCCCCTAGTTAATTGATATGCACTTTCTTTCTCCAATTCTTTTACTGGCCATATTTTGAATTAAAGAATTATATGGACATTCATACACTATATTAAACACCATCAAATCGCCAACCTTCAACTTCTCAATCTTGACATCTAGAGAATGTGATGCAGCAAGCTATTGCCTAAATCATTTAGAGAATCATACTGAGACATACTGTTTCTGATCTATTCTTCCAGAAGTTAATTGGTAAAAATATTCTTAATGTTCAATTGGTGGCAAAAGTCGTCATTTTTATTTTATTTAATAACTCACCTGCCTGCTGTCTTTGTTTGTAGGAATTGGAATTGCCAGTTGCTTGTGTTTTAAAAGTCATAATTTTTATTTCACTTGCTTATATTATGTTATTTTTGTAATTTTTCTTGAGTTATTAGTTCATTTTAATTTTTCTTTTTTATTAGGTTTATAATTCAATTAATTAAATATATATATTGCTGCTATTGTGTTAATAGTGGCTGCTTTGCCATCTGTTATGTTATGATAGCAGCTTTTTGCCTTCCTGCTATTGGCGGCTTTAGGCTATTGTTAACACTGGTTTTTCTTTTCTATTTTGAAGACAAACACTTATCGTCTTATGAAGGAAAGACTCCTAGATTTCAGGTTCAGCAGATTTGATGCTTATTTTGCCAAATTTATCCTTCTGCAGCTTAATCAAAGACCTTCAATCAATTATATGGAAAGGTTGCAGCAGGATATATCTACAAGCATGCGAGGGATTTGGATAGATTGGCTGGTGGAGGCAGTCAGCATAGCAAGAAACATAACATCTGATTCCTTCAAAGATATTGAAAATAACAGCATGTTAATATAAGACACTTCAAATCTTCTGCCGCTGTACCAGGATCTGTCACCCACTCATTTAGATTTCATTTTTCTTTTCCAAAATGAAAAAGAAAACAAAACTTGATGAAGGCCAGAGACTGTCAATGCAAATAGCATCTGCTAATACTAGAAGCCTTTGTTGTTAAGCAGAGGCAAACAACAATAGAGAAGGTTTCAAATATTTATCAAATCTAGTTATGAGGACACCACGATTGGTAGCAGAAGAAAATGGGAAATGTTTATTTTCTTCTTGTCCTACTACAAGAAGAATCATAGGTTCTTTGATCCATAGCAGTATCTAAGTGTGTTAACCATGTAATTTCAGGTTTCTGAAGAATACAAGCTGGTACCAGACACACTTTACCTCACTGTTAATCTCATTGATCGATTTCTTTCTCACAATTATATTGAAAAACAGTCTCCAGCTTCTTGGTATTACGTGCATGCTAATTGCTTCGTAAGTCCTAGTTTATTGTGTCCTTAATGGGACTGGATGGTATCTTTGCCTTGATTTATTTCACTCTTCAAAAACTATGTTAATTTATTATAATTATTTTTTTTATGTGTTGTACATCTGTGTACTTTTTGAAAAAGAGTTGTGAAAGCAATCCCAACAAACCCATAAACTGGTATGTTTTATACATCTTTGATAATTGCCTACATGATCATTGAATATGAAATTGTAGTTACCTTTGCTCTTTTTTCTCCCCTAGATTAGTGCAAATGTACATTATGAATGTCTGTGTGATTTTAGGAACAACATCTGTTATTGATTGCCTGTAAATGTGAGATACATGGCTGACATTGTTTAAGTTTCAGATTTCCATAAAATTAATGCATTGGTATTATTGCAACATTGGCTGTTAAGTTTGTTTTACTATTTAACTAAGGAACTACTTGTGCGTTTATTTCCTCAAATATGAAGAAACATGTTTAGTATCAAATTGTGCTGAAAAGATGAAATCAATAACTTAAACGTCTTGAACAGTATAAAAAATTTTTAGAAAATCTAAGCACTTTCCAAGAAATCCTTCAGTTTCCCCCCTTTGTCTATGGTGCATCTTTGATTTCTAATCAACTGGGTTCTTCTCAAATTCTTTAGCGTCCACAACATGACTAGTAGTCTAATTCTTCCTTTATGTCACCACCATTCACCAGAACGCTGTCCATCCATCTGAGCAATTGTTTAACCAAATACTTCGTTTCTTTAATAGTAGAACTCAACTTATCGTTGCTTAAGTTCAACTCACCATTTGTCACCATCATGGAAGTAAAAAATAAAAATCAACAATGTTGATGTATCTTTGATTTTGATAACAAAATGATGCAGGACAGATTAACGGATATGGTGGGTTTTAGGGTTAAGAGGCTGACTTTGGGTAAATTGGGGTTGTAAACAATAGGGGTGTTCATATCCGATCCAATTCGATTGATCCGACTTAAACCGATCCAATTCAATCAAAAACCGATCCAAACCAATATAAAATTGAGTTGGTTTAAATTACAAAATTTTAAAATCAATATAATTGATTTGATTTGTGATTTTATCTTCAAACCACTC